TTTAATCAGAATATTAAATAGAAAAGAATAAAATAAAGAAATGAAAGAGAAAAAAATAAAATAAAATAAAATAAAATAAAATAAAACATTTCTTTTCAACAGATGTTTCGTTTAACGTGGATACGATGGCCATTGCTATCAACGTTACTATTGGGCTCCCATATATTATTGGTAGTTGCCCAATGCGGATCTTCGATACAGGACAGACAAGAGAGTCAGGATAGGCAAGACAAGTTAGCATTGTACAAGATCACTATGAGAACATATTGGTCGAGGGCACGTTTTCCACGACATTATCCTGAATGGAAACCTCCGGCACAATTCGGCAAACTTATCGGTAAGTAATTATTTATATAATTTATATAATTTAGATAAATTTTATTATTCGTAGGTCGTTCGTTCGTATAATTAATTACATTATAAACATAATTAAAATTTTATTTAGATTGATTTTCGAACGCAAAAAAATTTATCGCTATATACAATATAGTGTGTATATATATATATATACATATATTAAAAAATTTTTTTTTATAGAAATGCAATCTATGATTAATGTAACGAAAATATCTATATAATAATAATAATAATAATAATAATGATGATGATGATGATGATGTAAAAAAAAAAAAAAAAAAAAAAAAAAAAATAGCATTTTGATTTTTAACATTTATATGTCAGTAAATTTTTATTTTAATAATTTTTTAATATATATATATATATATATAATATACATGTGCGTATGCTATAGTATATGACGTTAAATTTGATTCGACGGAAAATTATATATTGATATAAATTTTAATTCGACAAATTGTATCCTGATTTACGTTATGGGAATGATTCTAATAAGCATTCATTTTAATGAAACATATGATCGCATTAACGTCATCATTTTCAACCCTTTTACCTGGTTCCCCCTCCCATACCCCCTTCTTCCGTTGTCATCCCTACCATGGTCGCGCAGTATCCTATCATTATAATAATGAGGAATATTACGGAAACAATTTACGGCAAATTACGATGTGTTAAATCGTTCCTTTAAATATACAATATCGTATTTGGAAAGTAACATACGCCATGATCCTAGTCGCGATCGTTAGATCATTTATAAACGTTATGCCAACAACTTTGTCTTTGTCCCTTGTTACGATATTAGCATAAAACATCGCTAATTGTTAATGATCTCCAGTTTTCAATATTATTGTCTCTCTATTTCATTATATAATAAATTCTCACGGATATTAAAATTTGTTAGGCTTTCAGAATCTCATACGATTATTATCATGTTGATATTATTATTATTGTTGGGATTATTATTACGAAATATTTTTCAAAAATTATATCTGAAATATTGATTTGTCTTAAATAATATATAGATCATATATCATATTATATATATATATATATATATATATATATATATTGATATATAGGTACGCATACCATTTTAAATAAACAGATACCTCAAATAGTAGGTTTATTAATCTATGGTGAAATTTTGTCGTTGAAATCGAAGGACGAGTTACCAGAGTAAAGCGTTGCTTTAATCGTGCAATATTGTCAACTGCGTCTATATAGCGTTTGAAACACATGAGCGTTTATACTATATACTACGATCAAGACACGTTATATTCATGGTGGTATTCCTACCACCGTCACCATCATCACCACCGTCTAACCGAGTGATACATCATTTTGGACGTTTATTAAAATGCCTCGGTTAAATATTCAGGGACAATCGTAGGGAATATTTTGGTCAAACTTCATTGCATTTTTTTATAACATTTTTATTATTATTTATATTGTGAAAAAAAATATATATATATATATATATGAATATATTTTTTCGATTATAAGAAATGTTATATTGTATTTAAATAGATATTCTATGGTTCCATATGAACATGTTAATTAATATATATATATATATATATATATATATATATATATATATATATATATATTATAAATAAATTTATCTTTTACTTTCTGTTTTTTTTTTTGTTTAAATTTTTTTTCTTCCATGAAAATAAAATCAAGCTCAATTATTATACCTTCGTAAATAATTCACTTTTATCGATCGATAATTTTATTAATAGATATAATAATTCATTGGATTGGATATAAATTTTTTCTATCTGTCAAGTAATATCAGAATTAAAAAATTTTCTTTTCTTCTTCTTCTTCTTCTTCTTTTAAACAATTCATTCTTATCGTTGATGAACATATCGAACGAATTTTTATTGATACATTTATATATATATATATATATATATATATATATATTCTTTCATATTAAATATACAAATTGAAATATATATTCCATTAGAATATTCTTTTGAAATGATAAGACGAACGTTTTAGATATAAACATATAATATGTAAGGTAAATATTTCATATAGTTTTCACGGTGAAGAAATAGGAAGAAATATCGATGTAGGGAATTTAGAACGCTTGTGCTTGCCTCAGTACAGGGAACGCTTAGATAAGCCATAAATCGGTATGAATGGTAGGGCCATACTGTTATTTATGTTTGCTGCGAACGCGAGAATAGCTTTCGTCTTTACATCTATACATATATGTATGTATGAATATATATATATATATATAGATGTGTATGTTACATCTTCCTCCCCTTCTCCCCTCAATCTTATTCCTTTTTTATTTTTCTTTTTTCATTTTTCTTCTTTTGTACTTTTTTTTTCTTTTTCATTTTTTTTTTTTTTTTGTATCTGGTGTAACGTATTTATGGCGAGGGCAAATTTAAGATTTTTGACCTTAGATCGATGCGAAATGCGTTCACTTGGTCGATCGCCAAAGAAGAATTTAGAAAGGAGTTTAGGTAAGAGTTTAGATAAGAAAAGATTCATGGGCTGTGTATTAGTCACTCGTGGTCTTTTCTCTTTTTTTTTTTTTTTATTCTTGGTATTTCATCCGTTTTTTTTTTTAAATCTCAAAATCCAATATTTACGATGAATTAGAAAATTAATTGTTATAATTATGATCTATTGTAATACGAAATTGATTTAATATTACTCGAAAAGAATTCGTTTATCTCTAGATATTATTGATAAAAGGGGAAAAGAAAAATGTTTTAATTTATAACACAACAGTGTAAAAAAAAAAAAAAAAAAAAAAAAATGTATAAATTATAACGCAACAGTGCAAACGTAAATTTCGATTTAATTTTCTAATCCCATTATATGTATATAAATATATATATTTTATATATTAATTATATATTTTTCACTTCTAATCTTAACCTAATGAGACATCCAGTGTCCTATGGAACGCGAGAAAGAGTAATTGGAGAAGTTTAGAATTATCGGAGCTCGTTGGGTTGAGTGGGACAGTGCAAAAGTGAGGAGGAATAGGAGAAGGGGAGTATAGAAGGGGTAGGGGTGGGAGTGGGGAGAAAGCTAGTAGAAAGTGCAATGGTTGAGGTTGATGCGAATTTGAAATGTTTTCAGTCGTCCCCTTACATACGCACTCATACTCACATATGTATTTACATATATATGTATGTGTATATATATATAGTGAGAAGTAGTCAGGTAGCACGCGAGTCTCTCTTCTCTCCCCCCTCCCTTGTCTCTCTCTCTCTCTCTCTCTCTCTTTCTCTTCTTGCTCTCCATAAATCCGCTTCTCGCCTCGTAAGTCTCCATAGTTTTGCACTTTCGGTTCCGCGTTTGCGGGACACCGAACATTTCCACCCGTTCTCACTCCCCCACTCTCTTCCCCTCTCTCTCCAACCCCCTCTCTTCAAATTCGAGTCGAATAAATCCTACAGAATACTACACACACATACACACATATATATATATATATATAATACATACATACATGCATATATATACCCACACGTGAATGTGTGCATATGTGTGCATGCATTTATATGTACGTACGTATGTATATATGTGTACATAGCTTGCTCTCTCTCTCTTTCTCTTTTTCTCTTTCTCTTTTCCCTTTTCTCTCATTCTCTCTTTCAGTCTCTCAGACCTCTCGTACCGTTCTTCTTTCGGGCACGTTCCATGCGAGACCTCAAATTCGAATTAGAAAGCAACTCGATGCCGAAATTGAATTTCGGTGAAGGCTGCTGCTGCTGCTGCTGCTGCTGCTACCGCTGCTAGCTACTACCTTCGACGATTCGTAGCCAATGTCGGGAAAGAAATTCTCTATCTTCATCTTTCTCTCTCTCTTTCTCTCTCACTCTCTCTCTCTCTTTCTGTCCTTTTTTTTTTTCTCGTCTCTTTATGCCAATGTCTCCTATCTCTCTTTCTCTTTCTGTCCTTTTATTTCGCGTCGAAAGCTACTCGAGTATGCGGAGAATGCGAATACAGAGAGCGTGAGAAGAGAGAAAGAGAGAGAGAGGGAGATAGAGAGAGGGTGAGAAGAAAGTGGGATGAGGGATCAGTGATGGCATAGGGAGGGGGGGAGAGTGAAGGGTGGATAGGTACTTTCTCTACCATTCACAGGGTGACTCCTTTTATCTTCTCAGTTTTGTAAGACCGACCCTTAGCTACGCGACACTACTACTTTTTCGTCCTCTTTCTCTTCGTCATTTCTCTCTTTCTTCGTATTTCTCCCCCCCTCCCTCTCTCTCTCTCTCTCTCTCTCTCTCTCTCTTTTTCTCTCACTCTCTCGCTATTCCATTTCGTGCTCTTAGAATAAGACGCTTCACTTCTTCCTTCCCATCGTTCAAAGTTTGCTTAGATTAACCCTGGAATGTCGAGAGAACGAATTTGTTTTTGGAATTCTTTTGAAGAAAAAAGAAAAAAAAATAGATGTGTGTGTGTGTGTGCGTGCGTATGTATGTGTATGTATATATGTATCTATGTTTGTGAATTTATATATAGTCATAGAATTGATCGGTAATTTTTTTTTTTTTTTTTTTTTTTTTTTTTTTTTTTTTTTTTTTTTTTTTTTTATTTTATTGATAATATTTCGGTAGATTCGTTTTCATGTGAGTGATTGATGATGAAGTAACAAAACGAAATATAATCTATTTGATGATGATAATAATATCTATTTTTTGAAATTATACATGTGACGAAAATAAATGTCAGATTGAGTTTAATACATTGATAATTTTATGTCGAATAATTTTATTTACATTTGATATTCTTTGTTTCTTTTTTTCTTTTTTTCCTTTTTTCTTTCTTTCTTTTCTTTTTTTATTTCTTTTTTTTCCCTTTCTTTCTCATAAAAAAAAAAAAAAAAAAACTAGTCATTAGCTGATGTATCTCGAATAATTTTCTCTCGGTTTTCTTTTTCTCATTTATTTATTCATTTATTTATTTATTTATTTTTTATTTTTCTTTTATCTTGTTAAATCTCGCATTTACAATTGTACTTTGGTACAATTAATTATATCATTCATATACTCGTATAATGCGATCGAATTTCCTTTTAATGATAATATATTAAATGAATATATCAGAAAATCTTGTATAAATTTTCATATTTAAAAAGAAATTAGTTGGTAATGGTCAAGGAATAACGAGTAGTGAATTATTCGCATTTTTGCAAATATAAATGTTGAGAAATATAATGTCCGTTTTCATTCATTTAATTTTAATAATTAATATCTAAAGAATTAATATAGGTTGATCGATACGATGTAATTTTATGTATAGATTTTATACTTAAAAAAAAAAAAAAAAAAAAAAAGATTATTATTATTATTATTATTATTATTATTTTTTTTTTTTCAATCCGATAAATAAAATCTAATATGTATGTATGAAGCATGAATTATTATATTCATTGTTAATCAATGTTCATTCGATAAAATATCGCGGTTATAATTGCTTGCTTAGTCGAAATTATCAATAATGTTACACAAATTCACGTTATATATACATATATTCTATTCTACAATATCGGATCCTTTAAATCGGATTAACCGTGATCGTACGAAGCACACCCGACGATCGTAACTTTGGTGATCATAGTCTTTACGATTTTTATAGCAAACCGAACAGAGAGATTTCGACCGAATTTGTCGTTATGCGTTTAAATTCTGCACTTTATACATATATATATATATATATATATATATATATATATATATATATATATATATATATGTATATATATATACGTTCCATTTCTATTTATGATAATCCCTATGAAGTATGGGTTGAAAATTTTCTAAAAGGATTACAATCAATAAATTAAAGTAGAATGCTGAAAAGCTTTAGATATGATCTCTGCGATATTATGAATTATAAAAGTTAGAAAACGACTGTATTTTTTTTTTTCTTTTTTTTTTTTTTTTCAAGTATACCAATAGTGGAAAAAAAAAAGAAAAAGTAAGAAACGATCGAAAATTATATCGCGATTAATTTTTGCAAATGTATAATGTAATGTAACACGCGAGATTGCTTTGAGATTATTATTAAGAAGAAGAAAAAAAAAACAAAAACAAAAAAAAATAAAAGGAAGAAGAACAAAAGAAAAGATTAGAATGGAACAACGAGCTCTGCCGGTGGTTTGGAGTTTTGGAGTTTGGTTGGTATCGCGGTATGATGGTGAAGGGGAAGGAGCAGTAGGTAATGGTTATGAGATGAATCGTTACCGGTGCCATTACAACTTCTAGATTAGATTCACGAACGGTTTTAACGATTTCGTCGCGAACGCGTATCTCTCAGGAAACGATCGCTTACGAACAACCGAGAAGGAAAACGAACGTAATAAACGTCCAAGAGTTTCCTATCTTCTACATTCGTTTTGCATACAAATAAAATAGGTTTTTTTTTCTCCAGTTTCTTTCGAAAAAATATCATTCGTATTTCAAGGATAAATTTAGGGGTATGATGGTAGTGTGGTGATGTGAGAGAGAGATAGAGATAGAGAGAGAGAGAGAGAGAGAGAGAGAGAGAGAGAGAGAGAGAGAGAGAGAGAGAGAGAGAGAGAGGATTTAGCATTTGTAACATGGGAAATTTCAGAACACTTTTTTTTTTCTTTTTTTTTATTTTTTTTTTTTTTTATTTATTTTTTTTTCTTTTTTTAAAGGCAATTAAAGAAAAATAAATATTTTATATTCGTTTAAATGAAAAATTTTCGTTGCTACGTCAGTCATGATTTGAATTATATCGACGGGATATTTAAAGAATATTAAAAATGTTTATTAATATACGCACACGCATTTTGTCATTACGATATAATAAAAATATCAATGATCGATGAAGTTTTATACAAATATTAATATATTTATTTGTAAATAATTTCGAAGAATTAATTGGAATACAATGGATAACATGATAATATTTATAAATCGTTTGATTTAAATTCATATTTTTATCGTAATAATTTATCAATAAATTTAAAACGATTGACAATGTATCTACCAATTAACAAATTTATACATACACATATATAAATATATATATAATTTCAATTATATTATATGTTAATATTATAAATATTATATATATATATATATATGAATACTATTAACATATTAATTAAATAATAATTAAACAGATAAT